AAAAAAAAAAAAAAAAAGAAAGAAAGAGCTAGAAGCAGAGGATGAAGTGCCTGTCGACCTGAAACGCCTTGTTTCTGGAGCTTCAGCGTTTTTCCAATGTGGAACTGAAGGTTTTGCTGCATGCATCCTAGTAAAATGCAGGCGTCTCACTGCATGACCACCAAGGCCTGAAATCTCTGTGCTGTTCAAGATGTACATACTCAAGAATTCCACCCCTAGAATTGCTCTTAAACAAATATCCAAGAAAGGCAAAAAATATATTCTGGAAGATCTGTATCATATCACAGTCAACAATGTAAGTGATCTAAATTTCCAGCGGTAGCTTAGTAAGTAACGGTTTTATAAACGTGATGGAATTCATTACGTACAACCGTTAAAATGGTAATTATGCTGGCTACAAAGTAACATTGAATACTGAGTAGTTTCTGCTGTTGGTTGAGAGTTTGCTGTATCAGTTGTTTTCAACCCTGAGGGCATGTTGGAATCTCCTGGGGCCTAGGCCTCATTCCCAGAGAGCAAGCTTCAGCTGTTCCTGTGTTGGGTCTGGGCCTGGGTGTCTCTTTTGAAGCTCCCTGGTTGACACTACTGTGCAGCTCAGGCTGAGGGCCTCAATGCCACTTCCAGGAACTTTGGTTGCGTAAAAGCCACCAGAGAGTCATATCTTTATGAGTCTCCTGGGCACGATTACATCAAATACAGTGGTTCTGGTGTCCCTCCCTTCTCCCCAGGCCACCTCGCCCCACGTTTGGGCAGTGCAGGATACTGTTGCTTATCTCTGATTTATTACAACAATGTTTTTGAGAGTACTCTGGCTGTTGTTCCATAACCATCCTAAAACTTAATGGAGTCAACAATAGCGAAGTTACTGCACAAATGCTGTAGGTCAGGAATTCGAACACAGCATAAGAATGGCTTTCTTCTTTTCTACAATGTCTGCTGTTTCAGGTGGGAAGACAGATCTGACAGTCTTCAGCGGGATGCTGGAATCATCTGAAGGTTTATTTATGTACATGTCTGCTGCCTTGGCTAGAATGACTTGAAAGACAAGCTCAGCTAAGACTGCCAGCCAGAGTGCCCATACACAGCCTCTGTCTATGTGGCTTGGGCTTCCTTACACCATGGAGCCTCTTGGTTCTAGGAGCAAACATACTGACTAGTAAACAACGCAGAGAGCTTTTTGACCTATCTTGGAAGTCAGTCGCCTTCCTTCCATTGTGCCCGATTACTGAAGTAGTCATACGCCCACACAGATTTCAGAAATATTTTTGGAGATAGAGTTGACAAGATTTAGTAATGGACTAAATACGGAGTGGAGGAGAGGACTGTCAAATACCGATGCTACAATGTCATAAGATACGGGAAAATTCCGGACTGCGTGTGTATAATCATCACAGTGCCTGCAGATGGGAGCTGAATGTAGAGTGCCATAAAGAAAAACTGGAAGGTGGGGGCAGCAGGTCTTTCGTGTGACTCGGTCATTTTGGTGACTCTTCATACCCCTGTAACTACCCACCAAACCTGTGTACTTGACAGTCTTTGAAGAACGTTGGTTGTCACTGGGCCCCAGCTGACTCATGAAGTGAGTCTGCTTTCCAAATACCACATTCAGAAATCACCCTTGTCACTTGACTTTGTAGTTGGGAGAACCACTGTGCTGTGAGCCTGTAGGCTGTTCACCCTGTCAACCTAGGGAACTCACCAGGCCTCCAGCATCACGGGGAAAGATGGGGAATGGCCTGAGCCCACCTATTTTCGGGTCTAATCTCTCTTCTGTCCTTTCTCCTTAGGCTTTTGATATTATGAGAGTGACTCATGGCAGAGAACACAGCCTGATTGAAGATTTGATTCTGCTCTTAGAAGAATGTGACGCCAACATCAGAGCATCCTAAGGGAACCCGTCAGAGGGAAAGATGGCTTGTGTCTTTGTTGAATGCCTTATTGAGGTCGCACACTTTGTATTTTGTTTGCTGTGTGAACCTCTTCTATTGAAAATTCTCTTCTGTGTTTGTGTAGGTAAATAAAGGCAGACATGATTTGCAAACCACAAGAATCATTAGTTGTAGAGAAGCATGATTATAATAAATTCAAAAAATTTGGTTGAAGATGCCGTCTGGTAATTGTCTTATTTGCTTACTGGCAACTTTAATGTTTAAAATACCAACATTCAAGATAGAAAATCCTACTAAATGCATGAAAAAATAAGTAATAACTTTCTCTTTGGATGTATTGGATAAAAATCGCTATTTTCACATTTGCTTCCAAGCAAAAACTTAATGTCCATTTTGGCAAAAAGCAGAATTTTGAGATGTCATCTTTTGCTCTTTGTGATAAATGATGTTTGTGTGTGTTATTACTTCCAAATACATCTCCAACACAAGAAGTTTTATCCTAAATCCTAGGAAGAAGCCATTTTAGGTATTCCTAGGAAAGGATAGGAAGTTTTAATGCCAAAACCAGCTTTTCAGCTATCTCACAGCTCTTTGTGTAAATCTTTCGCATCAGCATTTTATAACTCTTTGTGCATGTCGTTTTTTTCCCTGAAATTTGTTTCTGTAATTAGCCAAATCTGTGGTTCAGCATGTGAGCGTGGTGTGCATAGTGTAAAGCTCCGTTGTTTTGCAGTAAGCAAGGTTCTTGCACCCCAGCTCAAATCAGCCTTGCCTGCTTGCTTTTTCCTCTTTATTATTTCCTAATTCTTTGGCCTTTTTTGTCTGCCTTTCTGCTTTAGACACAGAAAACCTTTTCTTTTCCACTTCTCAAAATGTGAATTCTTTTATGGCTCAGTGATCCTTTGAGCAGTGCGGTCCCTCATGCTTAGATGAGACTCTGGTAGTAACGGAAGCCCTTGGATTCCTGGAGCTGAAAGGATGCCTAGTAGAGAGTGTGCCATCACCCACACTTTATTCATGGGCGAGGAGATGGGTGGGAGCAGAATCGAGAGCAGCAGGAGCCCTCCCCGTCTTTCACGGAGGGAGTCGCGAGTCCTCTGACCAGGCACTGTTAGAATGGCACATGGATGTCTGATTGAGCTCGAAAGAACCAACCTTACGTTTGCAGTGAAGAAAGCTGATGACTTGCAACTGGAGTCCTGCTAGGCTGCACACCTGGTGACCACGTTGATGTAAAAAAAAAAAAAAAAAAAAAACAAAACTGTCCTGCATGCTGATGAGTTCTAAAGCCTTTTGTCATCCTTGCTTCAGGGACATCTCTAAAGCACACAGTGTCTTTAACAACCACAATAGCATGCCAAGGTAGGTATTTCAAAGCCTGTTTTATAAAACTGGAATTGGACTCCTGGGTGCTCTGGAATCCCTCCTGATTTACCGAGTAGCTTTTCAAGGAGCCGTTTCTGTGCAGTTCAGCAAGTACATATTGAATGGTTACTGTGTTTTTAGGGAAAGGCGATACAAAGACTGAATAAGACACACCCCCGTCTTCAAAACGGACACTGCCTGGTCTGGTATTTGTCTCTGTTAGCTTTTACTGCGTAACAAACTACGCCAAAACTTGGTGGCTCAAAGTAACCTTTTTTTAAGGTTATTTTAGGTCTGTAGTTCAGCAGTTTGAGATGTGCAGTTCTGGTTTGGTCTAGGCGTGCTAGTCTCCGTGGGCTCGCTCGCTGTATGTAGTTGCCGGTAGGAAGGTCAGCTGCGGAGTGGTGGTGAGTGAGCCAAGCGGCCCATCAGCCAGCCCAGCCTTGTTCACATGGCAGCAGTTCTGGGAACTGTAGGTAGGCGAGTCCCAGTGTGCCCAGTGTAGAAGTACCTTTTCAACTCTGCTAGTATCTCGTGGACCACAGCCAATCTCAAGGCCACCCCAGAATCAAGGGGTGGGTCCCGGCTCCTCATCAGGACAGGCTACAGAGCACCATTGCAAGAGCGTGGGTACCTGGAAGGGAAGAAGCTGCAGCCATCCATGCAGTCCGTCGTAGTTACCCTTGGTTTTCTCGGTGTTATAGAACATTTAGTGAATTTTATGAATCTGCAGACCTTCTTTCTAGAAAAATATACAAAGTTTTCCCTTGGTATCCATGGGGGATTGACTCCAGGACCTCCTGGGTACCAAAATTGACAGTCCTCAAGTCCCTGATAGAAAACGGCATTGTATTTGCATATAACCCATGTGCATCCTCCCGTGTTCTTTAAATCATCTCTGGATTGCTTGTAATACCTAAAAAAATGTAAATGCCATGTGAATAGTTGCTATACTGTATTTAAGGAATAATGAAAAAGTTTGCACGTGTTTAGTACAAATAGTTTTTTCTTAATATTTTTGATCCGATACTAGTTGAGTCCACAGATATGGAACCTGCAGATACAGAGGACCAGCCGCATATATGAACAATTTGCCTTTAGGATCAAAGAGTCTCAGACTTCCTATGGCCTCTGTGGATTCCCTGGGCCCTTCATGAAATGGGAAATACACTCGCTACCTTTCAAAAACACTGGTGGGAATTGTATTGGTTCCTCATTTTAAATGCATTCGGTAAAAAGTCATGACAAAAGGTAAGGATAGTAACTTACATGTCAGATGAGCAGAGTTCACTGAAAGAACCTTGTGTTTGCCAAATTTTCTGAACGAAATTTATCAGTCAGTGATGATCCTGGATTAAGAGATTTGCCTTCACACCTCCTAGAGAAAGCATGATAGGCTTTTAAATCCCTCTCAGCCCGCTTCCAGTTTTCTAAGAGCAGGGGGCCCTGCCTGCACCAACTTTTAATGGAAAGCAAACATTTAAGCAAGGTAAACATTTACCAAACAACTTTATAGCAAAATAATTTTGGAGAAGTGGGAAAGGGATGGAGAACATAATTTAAAATTCGTGTCACCAGTGGCTGACGATTTATTGCCACCCCAGCCGCCAGGACTGCGATTTCATTAATCCATAGTCATTGTAGCGGCAGGCTTTTTTCACATCAGTAACTTGATGCCATTAGTTGCTCCTCAGGGATGAGAACACATTTAAACTGAGATGAACACGCTGGGCATAATTTATAGCCATGCCACATGAATGCCAAGAGCGCAGGGGAGGACGGCTGCCTAGGCAGCCTGTGCAGAATGGATGCTGAGGACATGCTTGCTCTAGGAGGCAAGAGCCTGATGAAGCCGGACGGAGGCCCTCAGCCAGCCTTCGCTGCAGGGTTGAAAGAGGAATTCCATACATGGGGGCCCACCCCGAGTTAGGTCTTGAAAATGCTTTTCTGGCCCAATTGGGAATTGATGTTCACTTAAGAGTAGCCCCCAGGGATCCCGCAGGGAGACGATTCTGGAATCGTCTGTGGAGCGTCAGGTAATCCCCATGACAGGCAGTCACTGGCAGAAGCATCAGGAAGCTACTGGAGCCCTCTCTGTCCCTGAGGTATGTAAAGAACTGGTTGAGGAGAAGGACCAGAAACACCCCCCACAAATTGGGATACTCCCTTAACTTTTGGAGGTTTGTAAGCATCTGAAAGCTGTTGGCTCAAAGTCAACATATTCAAAATCGATTTGAAACATGTGAAAAACCAGCTCTCTACCTTTCCTGTTCAGCTCAGTGTTATCATGGGCCTTCCTTTCTTCATCCCAGAAACTCATTAATTCTCTCTTCTCCTTTATTGAGGAAAACAGTTCTATCTGTTCATCTCCTGAAGCGCTTTTCTGAATTTCAGCCTTGTTCCCCAGCCCCTTAGTGGGCCCCAGCACCACACTGCTCAGTCACTGCAAAGACCTCCCCACTGATCTCATTTCTTTTAGTAAGGAATGACAATTGGAAACCCTCAGCTGGTTCCTCCTAACCTGGGCCTGTTTAAGATCACGAATCCACATTGATACCATCCATTTGTAAAGTCCTTTGAACTGACTGCACCATGAACTACACCGCAGCCTAGACTACACCACGGCCTGGACTACACCACGGCCTGACTACACCACGGCCTGACTACACCACGGCCGGACTACACCACAGCCTGGACTACACCACGGCCTGACTACACCACGGCCTGACTACGCCACGGCCTGGACTACGCCACGGGCAGACTACGCCATGGCCTGACTACGCCACGGCCTGGACTAC